CTTGGAATGTAACTTATCAGAATGTTTTCTCTTTACTTTGAACAATGTGCAATATTGGCAAATTAGGATCTTTCTATTTTAAAAAAGATGTTGCATCTTAGAACATCAGGTTACTGAATAAAATTAAAAGATTCTGCATACTAAGAGAGTATACTATACCCATCTGATTGGCCAAAATGTGAAAGCTCTGACAATATACTGTAATGATGAACTTTTATGTGGGGATGCTGGAACTTGTGTTAATCCATACTGTTCAGGAGAGAGAGCCTGGGTGAGCATATCTGGTCTAGCTGAAGATTCATAGTCCTACTGACCTACTAGTTAGGACATCCTAGGTACGGTTCTTGTGAAATCTTTACATGAGTGTATAAAGGGTGCTGGGTAAGAGAAGTCACCACAGCCTCTTTTGTAAGAATGATAAAAGGAATAAATGTTTAATGACAGGGAAATGGATAAATTGGTCGTACAGCAAGACACCATGCTCTTACTGGAGCAAGTGAATCCAGGAACATTTGTCAGCATGGATAAATCTCAAAACTGAGCATTGAAGAACAGTCATTACAGAACGAGTTACACACTACACCACCTTCCATTTAAATTTAACTACATGTGGAATATGGATTCATATACCTGAAAATAGAAAGTATAAACTGATATGATAAACATGGAGTCAGGGGAGTGGTTTTCTGGTAGAGGTGCGGAGGCCCAGAGATGTCTGATGTTCCCTACTGACAGGAGGAAGCAGAACATAGGCAGTAACCCTGACAGCTGACAGTCACTGTGTGTCTGAGTGTGTCCATTTAAACCTGATGGCAGTGGGAGGAAAGTTCAGTCTGCAGGTGGAGGAACCGAGAGGGACAGTACGTGATCCCTGTCAAGGCCACATAGGTAGGGACCAGCAGAGATACATTTCATCTGGACGTTAGTTCTAGAGTTCTAGAGTCCCTGCTGCTGGCTAACTTGGTGGACAGAAGCATTTGTCAGATTAGTTTCTGCAGTTTTCTGTATCTTTGAAATGCATGTATAACTACAACAGAGAACATGTCCATATTTAGAGCAGTGGGGGATTTGTTTTTCTAGCAAAGTCATTGTCTGGCCAGAAGCAGTCAGATGAGAATCTGTGAGAAACAATGTAATTTTTTATTTTTTTAAATTTTATTTAAGGAGAAAAGAAAAAAAAAACAGTAAAAGGGTACAAGTTATACAGATTTACAGAAGAAAAAAATGAACAGTAGGAAATCACTAGTTAATGGATTACATATTGCCATCTTAGAAATAATTGTTCAAGTCACAAGATTAAAGCTTGTAGAGTGGACATTCCAACAATGATACTGCAAATAGTTCTGTTCAATGATCCAATAAAACTCTGTGATATCATTTTCTTTCTTATACACTTAAATATACATGCAGTTATACAGTTTAGAGCACTTTCTTTTCCTCTCTTTTGTACAATGACTATTACACATTTTGGGTTTCATTGCTCCCACGGTTCTTATTGCTTTTTTGGAAGAGAGTAAACCCAAATGTGACATAACAGAACAAAATCGGTCAAGTCTAAAGGGTGGACATAATAGATAATATAAAAACAATAATACAAGGTGATCAACAATGGTTACCATAATGCCTCTCGCTATCTCTAATAGAATTGCCTATATCATTAGTTATAATACAATTGAACAAAACAGTAAAGAGCAAAACTGACAAAACCAAAATATTGGAGACATTGTAGGTCTTCAAAAGTAGATAAAAGTTAACGAGAATGGGCGTTATAATGAATCTCATTATCTTCACAGCTGATGCCTAAACTTTCGAACCTGATACTATCCAGCAAAACAGAATAGGGGAACATCAGTCAAAAACAAGATGGTGAGAGTAATACAGGGCTTCAAATCGAGATAATAGAAAGTCAAAGTGGGTTACTATATTATATCCTGCTATTTTTTCCCTTTAATTAAATGGATAAAAATAAAAAAGTAAATAATGGAGTGGAGGTTGAGGAAAAAAAGAGGGCATAACAGCGAAACAGCGCAGATCAAAACATAACCATTTAAGCAGAAAAGTGTTTCACCACCAAATAATTCCAACCCAAAAGTAGTTACCATATTGACTCTTTCCTTGAAGTCCTTGAGTACAACTTCGTATACTGTAACATTAAGTATATCAAAACAATGTAAAACCATTTAAGAGAATGACAGCATTACAGAGTATTTAGAATCGACTAACAGAAAGTGAACAATGGTTTCTGTATAATCTCCTTGTCTTTAAAAGGTTTTTGCTTATACTATCATACATAATAAAATCCAATAAGATACAACCTGTTTAGACCATTGGAGACAGAAGAACAAAAGCTAGATGAGACTTCAAAACAAGATGATACTAAATCAGTATTACCTATTAAGATGTCATTTTCTCCAAAATAGCTGTTCCTATCATCCAACCTTCTCTGTCTCTTTTCCGTTGAGCTCTTTTTCTGTCAGTAGCTGTCAGTTTGTGTTCTTCATTTTGTTCTCTGCTCCATTCGTTGTGGCCTCCCCGCCACTATTTCTGGGTTCTTTGTATTTTTCTTTTTTTAGAATATCCTGCAATACTTTCTGTAGAGTTGAATTGGTGGTTGCAAATTCCCCCAGTTCCTCTTTATCCTGGAAGCACCTTGTTTTTCCATCAATTTCCAGGGACAGTTGTGCAGGATATCTCAATCTTGGCTGGAGATTATTATCTTTCAAAGCTTGAATTATTTCCCCCCACGCTCTTTGTGATTTGATGGTTTGTGCAGAGAAATCTGCTGTAATTCTGATGGGTGTTCCCTTGTAAGTGGTCTGTTTCTTGTCTCTGACAGCTTTTAATATTCTGTTCTTGTATTGAATTTCTGGAATTTTTATTATTATATGCCTGGGTGTTGCTCTGTTTGGGTTGTAGGTGGCTGGGGTCCTGTATGCCTCATACATCTGAGTATCTTTACCTTTTGCTAAATTAGGAAAATTCTCCTGGATTATTTCTGTGAGTAGCTTTTGTAGTTCACTTGTTTGTGTCCCTACTTCTTCTTTTATGTTCTTAATCCTTAAGTTATGGCTCCTCTTATCATCTTCTTGTCTTTGTATTATTGCTGTTTGTTTCTTTGTTATTTTTAAGAAGTTTTTCATTTCATTCTCCCATATTACAAGTCTGCCCTCCAGTTCAGATAGTCTGTCCTTAGTTTCTTTCAGGCTGTTATGCCAGTCTTGGATAGACTTCTTAATTTCTTGATAGTCCCTTTGAACCTGCTTCACGTACTCTATGCTTTCTCTGTTTTCTCCATCAAACAATTCTCCCCTCTTTTTCTGTTCTTCCATTCCACCATCTGTTTTTTCCTGGGTGGTGCTTAGCATTTCTCTAACTATTCTGCATACTTCTAGCTTCAGGTCGTTGATAACTTCATTCCTGAATTGGTCTATGAGGCTCTCTGTATGGCGCTTAATGTCTGTTGGTGCAGTGTCCGCTATTGCCTGTTTCTCAGAATTGGGGGCCGAGGAGCCTTTCTTGTTGCTGCCTTTTCCCATATTTTCTGTTCCTTATATATATGCAAGCTTACACAGGAGGCCCAGCTTCCCTGCCTGTCAGCCACGGCCTGATCGAATTGTGCTGGCTAGGTGTTCCCGCCCACCGATGCGCACCAGGGAATTACGGACGAGGCAGCCTACGCGGGAGTTGCCCCTCTGGGCCACCTTCAGGCTCTGGGATCTGGGTTGGGCCAGCCTACCAAGTCCGCCAGCAGCGTCACGCAGGCCAGGCACTTTTCACCAATCCCGCCCGAGAGGGGAATGTGTGGCTGGAGTCGCCACCGCGCCCTGCTCCCGCAGGACTGCCCGGGCCCAGAAAGTCCTCTGCTGGAGTCAAACTGTGGTAGAGTGTCAGTTTCTCTCACTCACCTCACCACAAGTCAGCGCACACCTCCCTGCGCATCTGGTTTTGACTCCGTTTGCCGAGTCCCGTTCACAGAGCTTCTGCGCATCTCTCTCCTTGCCGAGCCGCTGTGGAGGCAGCCAGCCGCCGAGTGGCGGGAAACCCAAATTGCGGCTTCCAGTGGCGCGGGGTCCAGCCTCCACACCGAGTCTTTTCTGTTCCTATTTTAGCGCCAGGACTGCATTCCAAGTTGGTTTCTCTCAGCCCAGTTCGTTCCTGAGTCAGTAGAGCATATCTCTACCGGCTTATGTCTCCTTAGTCTGCACCATTCCTGACTTCAGAGAGCCTCCGGTAGTTGCTGTTATCTGTCCGCCATGTTCTCCCGGAAGTCCGAAACAGTGTAATTTAGAGGCTTTGTTTTGTTTTGAATTTTTTCTTTTAAACTGGCCTCCTTTAACATTAGACTTCATTAAGCGTCACTGATTGTCAGACAAACCATGTTATGTTTCTGTTTTCATGTGTCAGTTGAGGGAGAAGAGCTGATAGCAATTGGAAGGAATTCTGGAAGTGACAGGAAAGGAAAGGGGAAAATGGGGAAGTCAGACAAAAAGGGGTGAAGGGCTAACATAGGCAGAATGGATTTTTGCTGGTAAAGATAGTTTCTCTGAAATGCTCCAAAAGGCAAATTTTTGCTTTCTTTGGAAAGCTAATAACTGCTACTTTCATGCTGGATTGTGAGCTCAGTGTTGTATGTATTTTGCCTATTTTAATCTCATAAGACAGTGTGGTTTTAGAGAAAAGGCTCAGAGGGATCAAGGGACTTGCACCAGGCCACACATGAAAAGTGACAGATCTCTGTTCTAGCTGCAGATACTGTGTTCTAAACTATTTTTACTGACTGGCTGCAAAGCACACTTTATTTCTCTTTGAGAGTAAAGCAACCCTTTGAGGAAAAATTATTTCTCACATTTGAAGCCATGGCACTCAGGAACAGATAGGATAAGATCACAGATTCAGAATGACAGGCTGGTTTCAAAAGATACATCGTAGAGATTTCTCGTTTTCTTAAGGAAAAAAAAAAGTTATAAGTGACTTAACTTTTTGTTGTTTTATTTTTCCAGACACCACAGATTGCAGCAGAGAATATTGGTAGTGAATTACCAGCCAGTGCCCCTCGATTTAGGCTAGATATGCTGAAAAACAAAGCAAAGAGGTCTTTAACAGAGTCGCTAGAAAGTATTTTGTCCCGGGTAAGTGGCCTAATTTCTTCTGACTAAAATGACTTTTGATGGTTTGTTTCTTTTGAGATTGGGTCTTGCTCTCACTGTGTAATTCAGGCTGGCTTTGCCCAGGCTGCCCTTGAACTTGCTGTGATCCTCCTGCCTCAGACTCCCAAATGCTGGGGCTATAGGCATGTCCCACCATTCCCGGCTCTAACTCACTGTTTAAGTGATCATAAGATTAAATTCTATGCTCTGTGTCAATATTCATCGTAAGTTACAAAATGTTTTGGTGTTATACATTTTAAATTATTTTTAGGTTAGTCTGGGTTTTAAAATAAATTACTTGACTCATGTTTTGATTGCTTTGTTTCCCAAAATACTATTTCTTGGCCAGTCCCTCTAGGAAGCAGATATATCAAGGTGTGGGTTCTGGTCTTCCTGGTGTTGCTTAAACATCTGGTCACTATCAGCAGCTGTCCAGATGTCTAGAACCTCTTCTAGGGATTTACTTTTTGACCCGTGGGCTAAATCCCACCTATCTGCTGTTTCTCTGTTTCTGTAAAAGGAGTTTCATTGAGTCACAGTCACATCCACATCCACTTATTTTCCTGTTATATAAAACAGCTTTTATGCAGAAATGAATACTTGGCATAGACTCTGTATGACTTGCAGTGCTTGAACTATTTGCTATGTGTCCCTTTATAAAAAAAAATTCTCACTTCAGCTCTGCAGGGAGAACAAAGAATACATATGTGTTATTTAGGAGCTGTTTTATAAACTCATCCCCCTCTAGTCCCATAGGTGCGAATAGCTTTGATGGCACTTCTAAGAAATCACAGTCTGATTTTGGGGGGAGAGAGGGGTACTAGGAATTGAACTCTGGACTTTGCATTCCTCAGACAGGCGCTTTTGCCACTGAGCTATATCCCCACCTCCAAAGTCTGATTTTTTAAAAATCAAAGTGTCACACCTTTCTGGAGCTTGCAACATCTAATTATAGTTCTTTGTGATTTTATGATAAATTTTCGTTGAAACAAGTGTTTTGGTAAAGAAAGATAAAATTTATTTTGTTTGAGGATATTTCTGAGAATTTTGCAACATCTTCTGAGATGATAAAAAATAGTCCATTTACCAAATCAGGGTTGGAGGAGCTACATTTGAGATGGATATTGGTTGAGTGACATGCAGCTGTCCTGTCCCGACAGCTTATGTCTTACAGCAGAGAGCCATTGAGTGGGCCTGATTGCACACCTGCTTTTCTTCATAAACAGTTGTTTTTTTTCCAGCCCAACATCAAAGCCAAATAACTGGCCCACAAGGTGTTTTGGAACATTTAGGGTGGTGAGGTACTTAAAAAAGATAACAGAAACACTGATTGTCTTCATTGTCTATGCATGGTTAGTAACATTTTCAGTAGATGCATTTTTCCTGAGTTTATTTCAAAAGCGCAAACTTCTTCTATCTAGTGGCTTTGTAAAAGTCTTTGAGATCATAATTCAACTGCCTTTTCTTTATGTAGGGTAGTAAAGCCAGAGGCCTGCAGGAACATTCGGCCAGCGTGGATCTGGACAGCTCTGTGTCTAGTACATTGAGTAGCACCAGCAAAGTAAGCATCTTTCTCTTACTACGATACCCTGAAGAAGCTAGTGAACTGGCCTTGCTCATCTTCTATCTCTACGGGGTTATCAGAACCAACAGAAAAAGCCCGTATCATAAAAAGTTTGGTGCTTGCAGACTTCTTGGCACAGGTGTAAGGCTGGTCATGTAGTCAGCATAACCTGAAAGTTTTACATAAAAAGAAGATGGGTATTCCATAAACAAAGAAGTAAGATACAACTTTAGACAACTAAGATATAATTTGTCATAATACAACCAAGGGATTTGTTTTCCAGGTAAACGTTCCTATAATAAAAGTAATTATAATTGGGATGTGGTTTGTGAGTTCAGAGAAGTATGCAAGTTCAGTTCCTAAACTTTTATCCTTAAGCTGGCTCCTTGATTTTAATTAAAATTATTCCTGTTCGTTTAAGTAGGTAGCTAGGCTTCATTCCCGTCTGCTGTAATGAGGACAGTTAGAATATGGAAGCTAATGATTCTCTGTGGTTTTAAACCTGTGCCTGTGTCTTTGCTCTCATATTTTATTTCCTAGACATTTAAGCATATGTAAACCTGGGTGGCTTAACTGCATCACTGCCAAGGAATAGGTTTGGATCTTGTGCTGGGAAAGCTTTGCTTTCTGCAGTAGAAGCATTCTCTTAGGCAAAAATGAAAAGTTTTTGTGGAGCAGTACCTTACCACAGGAATGTTTCAAATTCTTCTGAGATCCCTCCTAGTTGTGTGGCTTTCAACGTTTTTATTTATTTATTTATTTATTTTCAGGGGGTACTTGGAATTGAACTGAGAACCTCATGCTTGCCAGGCCATTGCTTGTGCCACTGAGCTAAATCCCCAGCCCATCAAAGTTTTTAGATCATAACCAACGATAAAAAACACATTGGACACTGTGACATTCACAAGTGCACATTCCTACACAGATCCAGAAAAGTTTTTTTAAAAAAGCCTACAAGATAATTACTTTGAACACTGTGTGATATATGCTGGTATTTTCTGTTCAATTTCTGTCTAAAAAATGCAAGCAAGTACATCCAGACTACTATCTACTGGTATGTTATATTGTACAGTTAGATAAACACTTCTTAAATTTTAAGGTGCACCTGCAGACTCAGAGTCAGGAGCCTAGGGTGAACCCTGAAATGGTAAGTTTCTGGCAAACTCCAAGGTGCTGCTGCTGCTGCTGGCCTGTGGGTGACAGGCCCACTTGGGGAGTGAGACCCTCAACACCTGTCTTCTGAAACTGATCTTCTAGTGTCATCAGCCAATCTAATACACATTAACTCTGCCCTGTAGTTCATGCCAGATGGAAATGTTACGGTTTAGCTGTTACATGCAGATGAGTAAGTCCCAGCCCCTTCCCTGTAGGAATTTACCTAGAAGGAAAGAGACAGAGAATACAAATCATCCCAGCATCAGGGAGAGTACGGTAGAAGCCCTGAGAGTGGCAAATAAGGGACAGAGTAACCTAGATGTCAGAGATGCAAAGAGAAGAGAAATTATGTTTAGAATTAGAGAAAGCTTGGAGAAAGGAGGGAGCAATGGTATTTTCAAATCAAATCTTGAAGAAAGTAAATATTCACCTGTGAACAGGGAAGAAGGGATTTCAGGTTGTTTAGTATCAGTAAAGACACCAAGAAGAAATTTATGTCCCCTTAGGTGGCAATTGAGTAGTCTTGCTTTTTATTCTAAATACAGAAAACCAGGATATATACCTAGTTTGAATTTCTGCTGTAATTGTCAGAGTGAAATACACCTTTTCTGAAAGAACCTGTGTGTGAGTTTTATATTGAGTGTATTTTTCTACATCTTTAATTTCTTTATGTTAAACCTACACATTGTCACAAAGACACGAATTTTTTGTATTCGGCTCTTTTCTAATAAATTGAAGTGGAGGAGTTGCAAAAGAAGCTCTTTCAGTCATCAAATTAAGCTAAGGGTCAGTAATCTGGAGCCGTACTAATAAGAATTTGGAAGAATATTTACATGAGACAGATTCCTTCTTTCCTTTTCCTTTTTCTTTTCTTTTCTTTCTTTCTTTTTTTTTTTTTTTTTTTTTTTTGAGATAGGGTCTCTCTCTGTAGTGCATGCTGTCTTTGAACTCACTATGTAGCTCAAGCTGACCTTGAATTCAACATGGATCCCCCATCTTAGCCTTGTAAATGCTAGGATTCCAGGTGTGTGCCACGATACCCAGCAAGAGATTGCTTTCTGTAATGTGTTGTTTTAGAAAAATATTTTAATCTCTAAATTAAAAGAATTTTCAGAACTATAGTTTTGAAGAATGAAAAATTATAATTATGAAACCAACATTTTATATTATGTTGGGAATTAAGCTTTTTATATATAATTGCTACAGAATTAGATATACATACCTTCTTTTCCATTTAATGTAAAATTTAATTTTTTTTAATTTTTTGAGGATAAAATCTTGGATACTTATGATCCACAGACATTCAACTTTGTAACCAATGAACAGATAGAATTTAGATTCTGTAGTTTACCATGAGATAAATTCATTCCTTTTTACTGTACTCATGTTGATGTATTTATCCCTTCTAAGAATTTTAGTGGGAACAGCCTGATACATGTTCTCTCACTTCATATTTTTTGACTTGAAAAAACACTGGCCTCTTATGTCCTAGGTACAGCCCTACCTATTGATTTTGTGTGAGTGACAGTTGTTAATTCCTTTGAAAAACACTCTTCTTTGAAAGCTTACCGTATTAAAATACTGTTATGATTCTTAATGAGTGTTCAAGCACTCACTAAAGAATGAGTCCTCATTGAAATAACATTTTTGTGACATTTTATAGCATCCAGAATACTTACAGCTGTATATTCTTGTTAAATTCCTGAAAAAGTAAGATAAATTTTCACTCTTACAGATGAGGAAAATGAGGTACAGGAAGAAGTGAAGTGATTTCCTGAAATTGTACAAAAAGTACCTAGAGAGAGATTTTTCATACTCTATAAGAATAAAATAAGACACAGGGCTGTTTTTTTGTTTTTTGCTGTTGTTGTTAACCTGGAATTGAACTCAGGACCTTGTGCCAGGCAGGTGCTTATGCCACTGAGTTACATCCAGCCCAAGAAACAGTTTTTAATCTTGATATTTGAGTTAAATCTGAACAACAGGTGAAAATCAGAGTGGTAAGTGTGCGTATCATATGTGAGTGAGGGCACTTGACAGAGAAAATGTAAACAGTCAAGACAAGCTGTCTGGCACTCTAGACTTTTACAAGCAGCAGTAGAGGGTCCTCTGCTGTGGAGAGAGGGAATTATTTGCGGTGCTGCTTAGAACAGTTAGCTATCATGGCTTATTCCCATCATTCTTGCATTTGGGCAGGTCCCATTTCTGCAGCAAACTAGTACCTTGTCTGCCACAAGCAGGTGTTTTATGGGTCTTTCTGTCTTGTAACCTTGGTGGTCTCTAGATGGCATTGTGAGCACTTGTGTCCGAGCAGGGACGTATTTTCCCGCACTGGCTTAGGAAACACATAACCCTGCGGTTTGCTTTGTGGTATGTCTAACCTGTGTCTCCTGCCAGGAGCCGTCCACCGGTGACAAAGAGGCCCTGCCTGTCTCTGAGAGCTCCTTCAAGCTCCTTGGCTCCTCAGACGACCTGTCCAGTGACTCGGAGAGCCATCCCCTGGAGGAGCCTGCCCCGCTGTCCCCACAGCAGGCCTTCCGAAGGCGAGCCAACACCCTGAGCCACTTCCCCGTGCAGTGCCCTGCGCCTCCAGAGCCAGCTCAGGGGTCTCCGGGAGTCATTCAGAGAAAGCTTATGAGGTATCACTCAGTGAGCACGGAGACACCTCACGAACGGAAGTAAGATCTGTTTAAAATGTAAAACTGTGTGAATGGCTGAGGCATGCCTGTGACCAGCCAGCACTGGGTCTCTTTGGTGTGCTTCCTGGGTGGAGCAGAAGCCTGAGTTGGCCTTTCCTCTTGGTTTAAAAAGACACAGCTTGAGGCAGTGGTGTGTGCTTCCGAGCACTCCTAAGGGAGCCCGTGTGGCAGGGGGCTGCTTGCTCCATGTCCAGGTGTAAGGGTTGCCCTGAAGCAAGGAAAGTGAGTGGAAGTCCTGATCCATACGTGCAGTTACTCCTCGAGCCATGTGAGACACACAGCTGACTTCGAGTGGGGAGCACCCGCGTCTCCCTGGGGACCTGGAACAGGGCTGCTGTGGGAGGGAGTCCTGGAGTCCATGCAGCAGGACAGGAAAAGCTGCATGGACACCAGCATGGACCCAGAGCCTGGGCAGATGTGTGTCACAGACTTGGAGCAGATGTTTTCTGAAATTTCCATCTCTGAGAATTACAGATTTTTCTAACAAGATTTACTGATTTCAACAGTCGGGCTCAAATGAGCAATTAGAAGGATGAACCAATGTGGTGGCAGAATTTTTTTCTGTTCTTTCTAGGTCCCTGAGTGATTTTTTTAAAGCGCCAGAAACTATATAAATATAAATTAACACAGAATTATCGTGTGTGTGTGTGTGTGTGTGTGTGTGTGTGTGTGTGTGTGTGTGTGTTGGGGGATGCTTGAAACAACCCAGGACCTTTTCAATAGGTCCTTTTTTCTTTTTTAATTCTAACATTTTTAAATGATAAGACAGTCTCATTAAGTTGCCCAGGCTGGCCTCACACTTATGATTCTCCTGCTTCAGTCTCCCAGAGCGCTGGGATTACAGGTGTACACTACCACACTTGGCAGAATTACCTTTAAAAGAATTTGTAAACTCTTAAAATTCCTTCACCTTCTAAGTATGAATTAGGGCCACAGCTGTGTGGCGGTTCCTGCCTGCCTCTGCGTGGTGACTCCTGAAGCCTCGAGGTTCAGCAGCATAGTCCACACCTGGCTAATGGAGGGCTGTGCAGGGGTATCTGAACTGTTTGTAGAGAAGTGGTGATGCACACTGATACTCGCAGCTTTGTTTTCAATCACCCATTGGAAATGGATACTGGTTCTTTTGAATTCAGCGTGGTAACTGTGATCACAGAAGCAGGACGCTCCCTGGAAGCTGAATAGTAGGTATGCTGTGCATCTGCAAGACAAGCGTACCTTGGCTGTGGCCGTGTATGTCCTCACTGTGTTTGCTGACACTGCGTGCACTGCTTCTTTCTGGTGTTTGAGGTGGGAGCAGGACCATCCTGCCTGGAGAGGCCTGCTTTTCTTGGTGAGCCTGCAGGTGCACAGAGGATGGGGGGTGCTTTCCTCCTGCCCTTTCTCCCCTCAGAAGGTAGCTTTGTGTGGGTCCTGGTGGATATTGGTGAGGGAAGGAGTTGGGAAACATCTGTCTGTTTCTCTAGAATGGCCCATTTTTCTTTCTTTCCTTCTGTGAACTCTTTTCTACTCTAGCTACAGGAAATACTGTAAAATACCAAAATGCAAGGCAGGATATGGTTACTTTTAAAGACCTTTTGTTTTTTCAACTTTGGCTGTTTTTCTTTTGTTCTTCTTTTAACTTCTTAATATTTTTTTCTGGTCAGTTCCCAGAAAAGAAGAACAGGAAAAAGGGTGACTAGGAGCCCAGCAAGCGGGAAAGGATCAGGCCTGGGACTGGCCTCTGCCTTGCTCGGTTTACTGGAAACCACTCTGCTGGCAGGCAGTGATGAGGGAGAAGGGCTGGAAGCCGTTCTCTTCCTTCCCTCTGCTCCCTGTGTTTCTGCGCGCTCTCCTCTAACCCCGTGCTTTCTCTACTTGCCCTTTAGCGTGGACCACACATCCTTGGGCCAGACTAAGCGCTGCTCAGGGCAGCCTTCAGATCCTCCTCATCTTAACCCCTCTGCCTCCTCGCCAAACTTTTTTAAGTATCTAAAACATAATTCCAGTGGAGAACAAAGCGGGAATACTGTGCCGAAGAGGTGAGCACACTCGCATGGCCATATCATGGGGTCGTCTTTGTGGGGAGCTCACACTGCCTGAGCTCGCGCTGCACCTCCGGGAGGCCCCAGCAAGTCCAGCCATGCTTCCGTGTGTTTCTGTTTGCGCTCACTGGTTTCCGCTGTCGTTTGAGCTGACTTAATTTACTATTGGTTTTCATAAAAGTATGAACACAAGTCTTGATGGCAGACATTTCTATATCCTGCGCCACTGTCCGTACACAGGCGCACACACTGCATTTGAGCATGCACACTGCTATTTGTGCCCTGTTAGAAGCTTCTTGATTAACTCTGGAATTTTTTTTTTTCAGTTTGAAAGGAAGAATTCTTTGGAAGATAGACTGATTTTTTTTAAAAAAACATCACTGATCTCATTTAAAATGAAATTGCATTCACTAAAAATGAAAGTTAAATCTCATTTGTAAATTACTTCTTATCAAGTTAACTGCTCATACTTAGCATTAGAACAAATTTTTTTTAACTTTTCAATTTATATTTTATACCTTGTATGTTTGTATTTCTTTATCCTAAATCTCTTTTCTCAACCAAACTCTCAGCGTCTCGTACCGTAATGCCCTGCGGAAAAAGCTTCATTCTTCTTCCTCTGTGCCAAATTTTCTAAAATTTCTGGCTCCTGTAGATGAGAATAACACCTCTGACTTTATGAACATAAAAAGGTAGGGCTTGCTTCAGTCTATCAAACCTGGCTGTTATATGTGTTGACTCATTGCTAGATTTATGGGGGTATTTTAACTGTTTGACCATTTAAAAGTTACTTCAACTAAATTTGTTGTATGTGTTGCCTTATGATTTTTTCCTTACTGAATGTTATGTTTTTAAAACATGCCATGAACCTGTTCTCCAGGTGGGTTGGGGCTGGTTTATTAATAGTGTCATATTCAGAAGGTTAAAGACAATGTACCATGGCGCCGTGGTGGGTAGCAAGCCTGCAGCTGTCCTCCTAGATGGGGGAAGTCTGATCCGTAGGTTGGACCCTTGATTCCGTGTGGTACGTGGCTGAGTGTGAATTGCAGAGGTCTGCCCCATGTGGTCCTGCAAGGCCAAAGAAAATGAGTGATTAGTTTGTATTTTTATATATATTGACAACTATGCTTTATTTTGTAGTTCTTAAAATGCAAATGTTAAGGTAATCATCACTAGCAAGGGTGACTGCATAAGTGTTGCTTTGATGGCTCTGTGTCTAATTTTCTAATTTTCTAATTTTTTTTATGGCAGTAACATAAACGTAGGCCTGTGTGGAAGAAATATTCTCATACATGCCTAGGGCAGTTTCTTATTTCTAAAGTGGCACCAAGAGAGGCCCGATTGGAAGCTATGCTGTGTGGTGCATATTTCTTAATACTTGTATAGTAGAAATCAGTTAGAGGGGTGCAGTCCTGCTCCTCTTGTGGAGAGTATGCTATAGGGACAGAGTTCTTCAGGAGTACTGACCCACTATGAGCTTGATGTCACTTCTTTGATTAGCAAATGGAGTTTGTTTATTCAAAGATAATTCATAATTTAGTGCTTTATATACAAAGAAAAAAATTAAGCTAAAAAAGAAAAAAAAACCCTTCAACACCTCCCCACCAGTCATAAATCCATTGCTTTGCAATTTTAGGGATTTTGAGTCTAAAGCGGACCACCTGGAAGATGTGGGTGAGACTCCGGTGAAGACCCGAAGACACTCGTGGCGGCAGCAGATCTTCTTACGAGTAGCCACGCCACAGAAGGCGAGTGACTCTCCTGGCAGATTTGAAGGTAAGACCACTGCTGAGAGGAAACTAGAAGAGTGCATGCATACCTAGAGAGGCCCACGAAAGGTAGGTAGGAGGTTGAAAAGCTGGCCTTTTCTGAGTTAGTCACAGTGTAAACTTACGAAAGGATTCAAGAACGCACTTGGGTTGATATCCAAGATCTGCAGAAGAGCTGCCTGACTGTCATGGTGGTCGAAGCTGAGGCTTACTTTGGAGCCTGCTTTCAGATTTCAGCCTTCTGCCATAGGAGCTGTGAGCTGAGACATGCTGTCTAATTTCTCACCTGTAATCTAGGATTTCCTTATGCCTTTTGCCACCCTGATGGCATGGTGTCATTACTGACACATTCTTTAGAAGTATTCGCAATTCACAATACTGGGGAGAAAATCTTGGAGTCTTCCCAGCCCAGAGTCACTCAAATGATACGAATTCCCCTGGGCTACTGGCCCACTGCTTCTCTTGCGGCAGCCCCTCCACAGGGGGCGCCATTGGAGCCACCGCTGTGCCAGCTCCATCCTCCAAGTGGCCCCTGCAGGAGCCGCTATGGCCAGTGTTCTGGTTTCTCTCTGCCAGCGTGAGAATATATCCACGCCCTCCCCACTGTCCCGCTGCCCAGCAGAGAGGCCAACCTGCTGCAGGGGAGCACTTCCTCCCTTGGGGCTGTGCAAGAGGAAGTGAGCTGTGAGCTGGGTTTGAAGCCACAGAACACCAAGAAGCCTAGAGTGTGTACAAGTTTCAGTGTATGAGAACCGTGCCCTGGGGTGTGGTGGCCAGGGCTCACTATTAGCAGTGGTTGCGAAGATTGAAATGCGATGGTTTTAAAATGCTTAGTGCTATGTCTGGGATGTGGTAAGGGCCATGAGCAATGTGTGAAGTGGTCTGTTCCATCTTAGAACAGTTCTCAACTTTCAAAAGCATTTTCCTTAGACTGAGCTGAAACCTGCCATCTGTCATTTCACCCTGGTGCTGTTCTCTGTGCCTCTGAAACCACACAGAATAAATTTGCGCTTACCTCCTGTGCCTCAGGTGACCAGAGATCACAGAAGCCACTGCGGCTCTTGCATCGTTTCCAGGGTAATTGCCCTCTGACTGCAGGGAGCCCCTCTGCCAAAGACTTGGCCTTTGGCTGTCTCCTTGAGGAGCCCTGAACTAAGTGCTGTGTCCCGAGGCCAGAGGCAGGAGTATCTTGGCTGCCACTGAGCTGTTACTGTTTTGTCGCTGTAGATTTAAGTTCATAATCTGTTTTGGTTTAAAACAATTAGCTCCCATTCTTGACTTTTGTATCCTGTCCTACAAGTGTGCACTGCTATTTGATCATCGAATCGATTCCTTTCTGTGCAGAGGAGCTTTTTGGTCAGCTTTCCTTCCTCAGGTTCTTTGGGCATGTGAAGTGTTCATAAGTTTCAGCCAGTCTTTTGGGGGAGGTTTTGTGCTGTGATCCTGCTGGCCATAGTTGGTGTAGAGTTGCATGCAGAGTTAGTGAACATGGCCTTTGAGCCCGTAACTGATAAAAAACTGAACCGAGCAGGGCTTGACATAGGTGGTGCTTCTCTTGTCCCTAAGTGGAATCACCATGAATTCATCAGACCCCAGAAGTTAAGTCACTGTCCCTGCAGAAGAATGTCCTTAAAGACCCATGTCATACACTTGATGAAGGTTGCTGTATGAGCCCTTTTCTTGGCTCTGACTGGAGCTGCTGTGGTCCCCTCATTCAGACTCTCCTGGGGTCTTTCCGGCTGCTGTGATCCAGGCTCTGTGTCCCCTTGCCTTCCACCTGCCAGGATTGCTTAAAATTACCTTTTCTAGAAGGCTCTGCTGACCGGTTTTCTGTGGCGCCTGCTGCCTGCTACCAGAAGACATTCTGCTCTCCTGATCCTCATATTTCCTCTACACACAGCTCCCTGTGACACACTCACATTTATTCATTTTCCTTATCATCACTGTCCTCGGGTTCCCTCAGGCATTAAGGCTTTGACAGGGCAGGCAGTGAGTTGCTCAGGCACTTGCAAACACAGTATGTGTTCCCTAGTGATTTTTCCCTCCCTCCTGTGCCTCCTGTTTCTCTGTAGGTGTGTGTTCTTTCTGTCCTCCTCTCAGAATAAAGGAATATCGTCGTTGCTGGGTGATCTTGTAGGTGTTCCAGGTATGCAAGAGGAAGAGAATAAAAAAATTTGAGACTGGATTAGTGTAATAGTGTGTATTATGCCCTTCTGGTATCCTGCTAAGTGCTTCACATGAATTACTTCCTTTCATTCCTAGTTACTTCAGAGAATAAATTTTACACTTATACCCATTTTACAAATGGGACTGGGGAGGCTGGGAATGGCTTTAGTTCCTTTCCCTGAACTGTGAACTCATGGGAGCCAGAGGCAGGAGCTAAGCTTATGGGCCTGTGCTCTAGGGCTTGTGTTCTGAACCCACAGGCCCTGCACTGCTCCAGAGGTGCCCAGTGGGAGCCACTGGTGTGGCCTCATGTGTTTTGTGTTGGAGGAGCACCTCCCTTGGAAGTTCTCTGTGGCCTTCTGCCTGGGGCAGGGGTATCTCTGTCATGTTCCTGTCAGCTACCAAATGGAAAACACATTCCTGTTGTGCATTTTAGTGCATGAGCTTGACTTCAGTCCGTCCTCTCCCTCCTCCCGCAGCAGTAGCCTGGGAGCTGGAGTGTGGAAGGGAGGAAGATGGGTTTCTGCTTGTGTCTTCCTTTCCCATATTAGATAACTTTTTCCTCCTCGTGCCCTTTTGCCATCCACAGGGCACGTGGGTCAGCCTGGCAGTTCTCTGTCCCGTTACAGCTCTTCCCTATCCAGAGACAGCCGAGGAGCCTCAAGGTTTCTCTCCCCAGAACCCCTTGCAGTAGCCACACCATCCCCAGCAGAGGTGCCCTGTTCCTTCCTGCACATGTAGACCTGTGGACAGCTGAAGTGCTTGTAGCTAGACCTGCCCAAGTCCCATTCTGACCTGAAGCGAAAGATTACTAATGTGCTGGTAAGAAATGCCCTTAACACAGTGCCCTACAGGTGGGTGTGGCAATGCACATCTGTAATCTCAGCACTCAGGCTGAGGCAGGAGGATTGCTGTGAGTTCAAGGCCAACCTGGACTCTGTAGTGAATTCAAGGTTGGTGTAAACTACATAGTAAGACCCAGCAGCAATAACAGCAAAAACCCAGTACTTTAGGGAACAGTTTCAGATGTTCAAAGTGACTGTTTTGCATTCGTATTCGGGAGTACCAATTTCAGTCAGACAGGAAATCTTGCTTTTTTTTTTTTAAATAATAAAATAAGATGTGACATTGGTACTATCCCATCCATCTCATCTTATTTGGAAAATACTTGTAAAACAAACTATCAATAAAAACTGTTAATGTTTACTTAACAGTAATAATGGAACTGCTGAGGGAGACATAAGGCTTTCTGTGATTTAGGGGTTCTCATTTTTGTGGATGAATTAAAACCTACAGAGAAAGTATTAGTGATTAGGAGCATGGTTCCAACTAAAATACAAAAAAAGAAAAAGAAAAAAGGAAAGGAAGAAAGAAAAAAGTGCAAACTCAAAATGAGTTGTAGGTGGAAGTGGAGGATTAGACTGGGTAAATGTTTCCAGTAAAGTCAGCCTGTTCTTTACTCAGAGCTGTGTGACCATTTCTGTGTATAAGCTCCCTGTGAGATAATTAAAGTTGTAAGAGTATCCCAGTTTTATGTTTTGAAAACATAAAACCAAGCCTATCTGGAGGAGGCATGACATTAATTTGTATTTAAACCTTTATATTTCTGTGTCTAATAAGACCAGTCCCAAATCCACTATTTTGTTTGTTTCTATGTGTATATATATATATATATATATATATGCATGTATGTCTATATTGTACAGTGTTAGGATTGAGCCAGGAACCTTACACAAGCTGAGCAAATGGTCTCTTACACCTCAGGGCCTGTTTCCATTTTACTTCAGGTGTCGATCAGTTGTCTTTCCTAAGAATTCCAGCTTTATTAGCAAAATCTGAGAGAGCTGGTTGTCATCTGAGTTTGGGTGAGTCAGCTTCTCAAGCTGTAGGTCGGGTACAGCAAGTGCTATGTGGAAAGAAAATTAAATGATAAACAGCAGTGGTCCTCAGCCCTGCTGGCACCAGGGACTGGTTTTGTGGAAGACCGTGGCAGGTAGAGGATGATGGTTCCTGGGTTAGGTTCTCGTAAGAGCACGCAACCTAGATCCCTCCCATTCATAGTTCACAGTAGGGTCTGGGCTCTTGGGAGAATCTAAGGTTGTGGCCAGTCTGACTGGAAGTGGAGCTCAGGTGATGATGCCAGGAAGCAGGAGGGCTCTACACAAAGATGAGGCTTCCCTGGCTCTCCTGCCACTCACCTGCCTTGTTCCCAACAGGTGGTAGACTGATACCCAGGGGTTGGAGACCCATGATAAGTAGGATACTACCAATTTTTACTTGAAGACATAGCAAGGCAAATGTTTTTGTCACAAAACAAGTAGAGATCATTAAATAGGGTGCTGAAAGCTGCCCCGAAGTTCACCTGTAAAGCAGTGGGCTTTCAGGGCTGTTAGTCTGTGGCATTCATTTATGGTTGTTGCCCCAGCAGTTGCAGGAAAGCATGTTTTGTCTTCCGTGAGCTGTGGGTTTCTGGTAAAAGGCTTCTGTGACACTGCGCATTTGAAAGGCCCAAACTTGGTAAACTATTCATCCACAGAGGTGCTATCACGAGAGTACTAGGAAACCCCAGCAAAGCTGCTAAAGGTTGGGGGTGCAGCATGGGGCAGGTGCACTTGGTGCACTGCTTGCTGGACAGTGACTCTTGGGGCTCTGTAACACCCCACTCATTTTTAGAGCCTCACTATTGAGTTCCTCCTGAGGCCACTGCTGCAGGTCAGCACATAAGATGCTTTCTCTCTTGGATGAAGATATATATCAACACACTTGTCAGTTAAGTAGTTTTGCCTAGGCATCCAGTTAGAAGAGTGTTTCATGGGTGTGGGGTCCTTGGGATCCTCTTAA